AGGTAAATATTTTGCCCTAATTTATATTTTTTAAAAAACTATTTTTTAACTATTCCTGGTATTGGTCTTGCAACAGTTAGGCGGCCTTGGTCAACAAGACAGATTTTGGGCAGCAATACATGCTTTTAGTCTTATAAGGATGCTGCTAACTTATTGGGCAATCAAGGATGGAAAACACTGAGTAAGAGAATCGTTAGAGACCATTACCGCAAGATGGGGTAACTTTGGGACTGGGTGGATAGCTGTGGAATTGAAAATCACCAGAATATTTGATGAAACGTCAGAGCTCATAATGTAGTCTATGTGCTTGTTTTATTTTTCATTTCATTTCATTGATCCTGAAATAATTATTATTTTTTATTATCAGCTGTTTATTTTGACCTTATTTTTTTTTCTGATTCGGCATGAACGCCGTCGGGTAGGTAATGCCCAGGTTCGGAATCGACACAGGTCCGTTTAAGCGAATTATTCACGTACTATTTTAAGCCTTCTGCTGGCGAGGACAGCTCAGGGAGATCAGATTAACTGCTGCAGAGACCACAGCCTGAAACAATTACAGGCTCTACGCCACGAAACCAATCAATAGGCCCACCTCTACCTATATTCTCTTACACATTCCCATTTACAATGTTGTTTTTTTCCTCTCCGGTCGGTTATATCCAACAAATGGAACACCCGACACAGTTTATACGAGCTTAAAATAAACGTGAGTTTCTCTAGCGAAGTTTTAGAAACATAAAGTGGAACATACTGTACTATTAAACCATGCCGTAATTAGTCTTTAGTGTTTTCCTTGGAGCAGTATAAATTTGAAGTCGCAGGTACATCATTTGATTTGATATGCCCAGATGGAGTTAGGAACCTTGATGATGTTACGAAGGAATTTGGATTGCGAAGAGTGCCTCTTGTTCTAGAAGGCTTTTTTGATGCGTTTCACGATAATGGTTTGGTCGTGAAGTAGTAAAATTCGAAAAGGGTAGCGGTGAAGAGTTAAAAGGAGTAGAGAGCTTTCATCTCTTCTTATACTCTATTTGTATTTATAAATTCTATATTTTTAACTTGCGCCATAAATCTTCAGAAGTATTATTTAAAATAACGATACGGAACGTAACATAAGCATTATGAAAAAGCGAAAACACTTTTAGGGCTGCAGATTTTAATGTCTTTGATTGAGCTGTAACACTTCATCTTCCATGTATGTAGCTTTTGACCATGTACGGAACGTAACAGACCACTCATTAGGTTATGTTACATGAAACACCCGGCGTGTTGCGAGGAAAGAAAGAAAAGGACGACAAAACAGCTGGTATATTAAAACGGTACTGTATCATCATGCATAGTTTGTTTCCTAGAAAGCCAATACATTTTTCACACTTAAGGGGACCCTACACGGTCAATCGGAATGTGAATCGGCACTAATGACGTTCCGAATTGTCGTGTAATGTAGTGAATGAAGTACTGATGGTGGTGCGCTGCGGATTTCCGAACATCCGGAAATCAAAAGTTCATTCACGAGAAGTGGAGGGGGGACTGAGGTAAAAGTAGTGGGGAGACTAACCATACTGCTGGATAGGTTATGTTACCTAGGCCTCACAACCATTATAAATTTCTGATTTTCATTATATGTAAATAGTTAAATAATTTTTCATATCCCTTGTTTATAATTTTAAACCATCTTCAACTATTACTTTTAAATAGTCAAGTGGGCAACAAATTTAAAAAAAAAAATGATGAAACTTCACAATTTACTTTAGGAAAAAAAAACTTTAACGTTGTGTATATTTATCAGTTCTTTTCCCATTTTCCTCAACAAATTTATTATTTTCGCAATACCTTTCCTTAATTTTTGTAAGTAGTAGACTTATATTTTACTAACTTTTGTCAAAACGATTTTCTATGAGACTAACCTTACTACTAGATAGGTTAGTTTACCTAGGTCTCGTTATTAAGTAAATAATTTCATAAAAGTAAATAGTTGTTTATATCCCTAGTCTATATTATTATTAACCATTTTCAACTATTTTTTCTTTAAATAGTCAAGTAGGCAATAAATTGGAGAGAAAAAAAAGTGGAAACTTCACAATTTACTTATAGAAAAAAAATCTTTAACTGTTGCGTTTATTTGCCATTAATTTTTCAATTTTTCTTAACAAATTGATTATTTTCGCAATACTTTTCATAGATTTTTTTATATAGTTGACTTATATTTTGGACTAACTTTGGTCTAAACGATTTTCAGGCACTAGGAAGTAATTATTATATCTCCGTTTTTCTCTTGATGCCCAATATTATAAATGACAATGTCCAAATAAGCATATCGATGCTGTTTCTTTGTTTACAACTGCGCTAAATTGGTATCAGCAACGATAAGTAATGATCAGTAATGATTGAACGTATAAGGGTCTTCATGATCAAAGCGATAGCGGGCAATCATGGAACTTCTTGTGACGTTCATTCATGAATTACCGTGTAGTGTCTGCTTTAAAATTTTGAAATCTAGAAAAAATCTATTCCTTACATAAAAAAGATTTTAGTGTATGTCATATTTAATTTCATTTTCGTATTAGGAGCGTAGGAGGTTACAAGAGCTCTCCTAATTGCTGTGTAATTAACACTAATTATACAGCTGTTCATTTAATTATATATGTGTTGAGCTCCTTACCTTATACTTTCTTATAAGAAATAAAGATTTTAGACTAAAAATGTGAACGGAAAACGGTATTTATTCATCTGGAGATAGAAGTTTGACTTTACGTAGGTGACAACAGTTATTTTTCGATCTAGACATTTCCCTTTGATTACAATATATTCTGGGAGGGGTGGCCGATTGGGCTAACGTGTGTGCATAGCACCGCCGTTGCCCGGCAATCTGGTCTATGAGACAATTGACATAAAATAGTCACGAGTTCGTGTCGCGATGCCGGAGGAGTCTTTTCAATCCCCCTCCACACCTCCTGTCCCGGGATACCCCGTGTGGCCTAAAAGGACTGGAAGGGGAATTTAATAATTACTATGATTCCATTTTTTTTTTATTATACTTTATTTATTTTTTATTATTATTTTTTTGCATAACATATAATAATCATTTCATTTAACAAACCATTCCTTGTTCATTCAAACAGATCATTTGAAGTAAACCACAATAATAATTGCTGTTTTCCCATTCCGCTGTTGTTCCTCAAGAAAATATCCTCGGTCCCATCCTCGATACACTTTATACAGCCGAAATTCCAACTCATCTAAACAATATCATTTCCACTTTTGCTGATGACACATGTGTATTATCAGTTAATAATGACCCATTTATTGCTTCCAAAACTTTTCAGTCACATATCAAAACTTTAAAGAATAGTTTTGAAATCAGAACATTAAAATATAATTCATCAAATCACCTTTACTCATATTCGTAAACCTATACTTCCTGCCCTACAGTATACTGACAATTACTGACAATCTTCGTTGGCGTCTGAGCAGAAGATGGTCTCGGGAACTTTAATATAGAACGATATTGGAGTGCAGCGATTGGGTAGTTTTCTTTAAGTCGTACTTGTCACATTACCAATTCAATAATACTCCACTTATTCCTGTTGAACGGATCCACTACCTAGGATTCCATCTGGACAAACTAGGAATCCTCATATGAAACTTAAATGAAAAAAAAAAAACAGCTAGATGTTTCCGGCTACTTCCACACTTTTCTAGGAAAACGCTCTAAACTTCAAATAAAGTAAAAATAACTCAGTTACTTACCATAATAAAGCCTATTTGGACTTGTGGTGTTCAGCTTTGGGGCTCCAACAGACTATAAACTTTCTCGTATCCAATCCTCACAGTTTGCCATCCTTAGCAAAATCCTCAATGCTTCCTAATTTTTCAGAATAAAATTATCTATAATGACCTTAATGTTCTATATTCCTGCTGTTATTGCAAAATATCGTATGTAACAATTTTACATACTTATTCTATTTGTTCTAAAGGTGACATTTTTTAGTCTGCAACTCCTATAAGTAGTCTGCTACTATGAAAAATAGTTTAGGGAAATAATATATAAAAAAAAACAATATGGAATTATATCAAAAAATCATAAAGAAATAATAGATTTTATAGTAGTAGGTTTTAATGGATGCTTTAATAGTTTTTTTTAAATTAATAATAGGTTATACATACGATCTTTTGCACTAACGGTCGCCGATGTTACCGACTAAGGCCAATCGAAATACCTATCCACCTATAATAAACTTACGTCATATAGCTCATCGAAACCCACTTATTTCTAACCTTGCATCCTCTTCGATTACTGACAATCATCTGAGGCGTCGAAGCAGAAGATGGTCTCAGGACTTTTTAATATAGAACGATAATTGGAGTGCTACGATTGGGTAGTTTCTCTTCATGTTGTACTTGTCATATTACCAATTAAAATTTACTAGTTGTATTTTCCGCCCAGTCCTACTCTAGACTTCAGAAACATGGACGACGACTGAAAAAATTGAACAAGATCAATCTTTGAGAGAAAAATTCTTTGAAGAATATTTGGAGGGGTACAGATTGATGGAAATTGGAGAAGACGGACAAATGCCGAAATTCGCTCAACTTTAAATGATCAAGATGTCGTTCTGAGGATGAAGCTCGGAAGATTGAGATGGGCTGGTCATGTGGCAAGGATGGAGAATGAAGCAATCCCTAGGATGGTCCTAACAGAACCTCTCTACGTTACAAGAAGAACAGGGATACCAAAACTAAGATGGTCTGAGGGTGTGGCAAGAGATTCAAGGGATGTCCTGGGAGTCAGGAGCTGGATGATGGCCACACAGAACAGAGATGACTGGAGGAAGCTGGTGGAGGACTCCAAGACTCGTGATGATAAGAATAAAGTTGTATTTTTAGCTAATACAGTTTATTTTTCAATAAACTTATTAAAATAAAAATCGACATTACTAATGGAATAACCTGCTTTTGCCAATATAGTGATTAAATGTCGAATTTACACTAGTAAGAAATTATGACAATGCAAAAGTATTTTATTGGAATGATTACATTACATTTAAATGAAATTGATGAATGATGATACTCATGACATTACAGACCTGAGACCATTGGTGGAGTAGGGGACCTCGTCGGCGGGGAAGTAGGTGAGGATGGTCCTGGCCAGGGTGGGGGGCGGCTTGGACAGGCCGAGCTGCCCCATCTGTGCCACGTACTTCTTGCTGTCGACTCTCTGCTCCACCGTGGCCTTGGGCTTCCGCGGGGCCTTGGCCGGCTCCTGCTCGGGGCTCTTCTCGTACAGCGCCGTCGGCCAGGCCTCTTCCGATCCCGCGCTGAACTGTCGCCGCGCTCCCATCATCACCATTCTCATCATAATCTTTCCCATCTTTCAAAATTATTTTAAATTTAATCAGTTCTGAAAGTATTTAACGAATCGTTTTTAGGTCCAATTATTTTTTTTGAGTCATGTGTTAAATATAATTATATTTTTAGACAAGTCGTATTGATTGAATTAATATACCATTCATACTTCATTATTCAGAATTACTGATTCTTTCGGCCGTACGGTAGTCGGAAATGGAATAAAAACGGCAAAAACCTAGGAAAGCTTTTAATTTGGGCAATATATCTGAAACGGAATAGTTTATAGCATGTTGGACCTTCTAAATAGAGTAAAATAATTTTATAAGAACAACTGTTATTATTATTTATAATTTTTACTTTCACTTACGTATATATGTAATATATAGTAAGGGTAAGTATTGCGATCGAGAAAATTTTTGAATCTGAGTTTTCAACGGAAATACACGTTTTGAGGTACCCTGAGTCGAAATAACCAAATCCCGAAAAATGGTCTGTGTGTTTGTATGTTAGCAGTCTAGCTCAAAAACGAAAAGTCCTACGAAACTGATATTGCGTATTTAAGATAAGTATATGCCTTAGATGTGACGGCAACTTTTTCCTTAAAATCAGCTAACCGGAAGTGCCACTTTATATCAACGCTGAAACACATTTTCACAATTTTCTCAAAAACGGCTCTAACGATTTTGATTAAACTCGGTGTATCATTGTATAATTAAGTGGTCTTTAATATCAATCAGGTCTTATCTTTATTGATGTCACTTGACAGGGATTAAATGCCCAATGTTCATATAAGTCTTCCTCTAAAGTACCTTTAATATGGTTTATTTTAAAAAGTTAATCATTTCACATTATTCAATTTTACGAAAAAATGCTAAATATAACTTTTGGAAGAATTTGATAAGGTAATAAAGGAGAAAGAAATAAAAATGCAGAAAAACCCGCGTTGTTATAAACTGTAGCGCCAAAACGAATGAACCGATTTCAATGAAACTTCGCTAAAGTCATTTTCTCGACACCCTTTAAATTTATCTGCATAACATACTTCAACGAAAAGAAGCTGGAATGGTAAAAGGATGGTAAAATTAAATTCCGAATAACTCAAAAAGTATACACTTTTTTGTGGATGTTGTGATAAGATGTTTCAAAGGCATTTAAATTGCCTAAAATTTTATGTTTTTTTAAAAGTTTATGGAATTTCCTAAAAAAAAACAAAAAAAATCCTTAAGATCGGACAATTAGGACAGATATGGTCTCTGGTTTTTTTCCCTGAAGAGGCGAAAATTTGGATAAATTTAAAATATACTTTATTAATTGTTGAGACTAAAAAAACCTTTTTTCCACAGATATTTAATAAAGTATCTTTCGTAAGAACATTTTTCATAAGAAATAACTACTTAAATTTATACCTTTATTCTCAGTTCTATATTTCAACACTGCAATCACTACCTCCGGAATCAACTTACTCATATTCTGCATAGATAACTTTTTCAAAATAAATATTACTAAACTGACTTCACTCAAAAATATTGGAATTGGAGTTAGTCATTCTCAGGTTTATAAAAGCAAAGAAATTTTGGTGGTTTTTAAAAGCAATGAAATTTGTGTGGTTTATAAAAGAAAATTTTTATTAAATTTATATTAGTCTTCGATATATTAAATAGACATTTTGTGGTTATAGTGGTCTTAATGGTTTGTTATCTGTAAGCTTTAAGCTTTAGCTCTGTTTAAAATGGACTTCATAAAAATTTACAATAGCCCAGCATTGCCAGAAAATAATTTCTATTCATATTAGATCGGTAATTGAATGTTGTGTGTTGCGCGCACCAGATTTTTTTATTAATATATGAAATATATTTTATATGTGACTAGCTAATGTACCCGTCGCTGACCCCCCGTATATAGGAGTATAGTTAAAATCTGAGAATCTTTTTTTGAGATGGATTTTGTACTATGGGAGGGGATGGGCTTATGGAATCTATTAGTTTAGGTGCCACACAATTGAACCGACCACCACCGATTCATTTAGTTTTTAATTTTCATTTATAATGAAGCGAGGAGATTGTGGAGTCGATTGAAATGATCAAAACGAGTTGTCGTTTCTGCACTGCATTAAACTCTGCTGAGTTTATCGCTGGCAAAATAACATTGGACATTGAGTCAGCTAAAACCGTGTAAAATTAAAACTTGGTCTGAATATTGTGGCGGGTGGCGTGAAATTTGTGATAGTTTTCACCATCCCTCGATTTCTTGCTAATCCAATTAGTTAATCCTAAAAACGTACTAGACAACATTTGTTAGGTTAGAAAATTTAAATGAAATGACATACTGAACTGAAAGATTGTACAAAGTTGAAAATTGAGTGTGTTTTAAGCGACAACGCGTTACAGATGTACCCGAATTTTCGGATTTTTCCCATTGAGTTGTGATAATGTTTTCCATCAGCTGAATAGTACATCTTTTAAATTTGGCACGCGGTAGATTAGGTCGGGATGAGAATCGAAGTAAGTAACTGCCTAGTCGGGATCTCTAGATAAATTAATCAAGAATTAATAACTTCTGTTTTACTCAATATTTTGTTTTCATTTAAAGCCTGTTTTTTAAGTTAAGCAAACATAAATATAATGTCAAATTTTAAAAGCCTGCAATTAGCCATTTACCACTGACAAAATTTCGTTGAACAATGCGGACATACAGACAGACAAAAGATTTTTTAAAAGTGGATTTGGTGTCGGTAATGTATGAAACGGAAAGATATCATGAAAATTAATTCTATTCAATGTACAGACAGAACCTTTATTTTATTTATATAGATAAGTTGTAGAAATAAAATTGTATTGTTGGAAATTATTTACCTAATCAATTATTAACATAAATTACTTATTGTTACTATCAGGACGACATAGACCCGAAAAGTGCGTGATAAGAGAAGTAGAGCAAATTAGCCTACAAGTAAATGAAGACAAAACAAAATATATTTAACTAACAAAATTTGTTTGAATTTTTCTTAAATCTGTCACTTCCCATTTCCTTTTAGTTTATTGCTTTCTATAGTTTTCCTCCAGTTTCCTGTGGCGGAAATACATAAATTACATTAGATATAATTAATGAATAGACAGTATTTTAATCTTGTCCGCGACTGCAAATTGCCGCAGCTGATTAGCACCGGATTCAAAGAACATTTGGATCACAGTTAATTGAGGTCTTTGGCGAAGGTACATCCTACAGAAATAGAAAATTAAGTTATCCGTTGAAGTAATATAGCTATGATAATAGATTTTTTTTAATTAAGTAATAACTAATCCATTTTAACAATTTTTTTATTTGTTTATTGATATTTACAGCTGTATTATAAAAAAAAAAAAAAAAAATACAACTAGTAAATGTGCACACAGTAATAATACAATCACATGAAAATACTTGCTGAGAAACTACCCATTGGTAGCACTCTAATAATATATCTTCATAAGTAGATCACGAGGCCATCTTCTTTTCAGACGTCTCGGAGGGTTATCACAGATCGAGGAGGAAGCAAGGTTTGAAACGGATTGGGCCAAATCGGAAAGATATGGAACATTAAGGTCTTTATAGATGATTTTATTTATTCATTACAAAGGATCGTGAGGATTGGATACGAGAGGAATACGATGGTTTAGTGGAGCCCCAAAGCTCAATTCCGTAAGTCCAAATAGGTCTTATTATTGTCATATATATGAGTCGTTTGTAATTGATTGAAAGCTTAGAGCGTTTGTCTAGTAAGTGTTGGAGTAGTCGGAAACGTCGAGCAGTTTCTTGTCATTTTAACAAATTGAAAAAAAATCTGAGCTCAACAAAAACAACTTAAATATATTTAATTATATATAACAATTTATTGAAAATCATGTAACATCATTTTTATTCCTGCCTAAACAGTTGAAATATATGAGTTGACAATCTACCGCATACAAAACATAGGAAATCTAAATTATCAGAACACCATGAAAATAGGAAGGGCTTTCAGACCACTGTGAGTCGTATTCATCTGCATTTTAGGAACAGGACTCTGGTTCACAGTGGACTGAAAGCATTATTTTGCGGTCTATCTGTAAATGATAAATGATGAAAAGTAACCATTTCTTCCTCTCACTACCAAAGGTAGAGAATTTTGTTTTCATGCGGGAGATTAAACATGTTTTACTTTCGCTTTCTTATAACTGTGAAATATTTTAAAGTATTGCGGTCATGAAAAATTTCTAATTCAAATTTTCGACGTAATGTAAAACTTTAACCATACTAATTGATCAATTTACCTAATAACAGGAAGAAATATTCAAGAGAGGAAAAATACTCTTCCGGTAAAAAGTTCTGAGATGGCTATGACGGAGAGTTAAAAAAAAAAACCAACAAGAAGAAACTTTTTCAAAGTCGGTTTGATAATTTTTATAAACTCTAGATGACAGACACTTTCCTAATTTGGCCTAAGACATGACAGCAACAGCGCGATAACTTTTGTTACCCCCCTCGGTCATGAGGTAAAATAGCGAGGTATTAGTCCATCCATCATCTATAAGTCGGCCTAACTGAAAGAATAATTAAGAGCTTGCCAAGGGGAAGCAATTAGCACTCTCTGGAAGGAAATTACGACACTTGTTCAGCCTCGAGCCGATTCGATTTGTCAAAGGAGGCATAACTTTACAACTGTCATCAACTCTAGCGAGAACTCGTGCTCTCACCGTATACGTTCCTTATGTGCATCTAAATCAAAATGTCAATATCATTTGAGTTATGTTCTCCTTTCTTTCTAAGCTTGTAGATACACGAAGGTTGCGTACAAACAGGTATATTAAAATAATTTTAGAAGCGATGCACGGTTAGGCGAAGCGCTTGATTCTCTGGACGTGAGTTTTTCACCCTCATAATTCCTCAATTTTTTTTGCAAGTATGAAAAGTTTAATTTTTTTTTTTTAATAGTTGAATTTATGTTTTATTAATTAATACTTGATACGTTTCATTTAACCATATTTTTTTATATTAAGCTCAATAAACAATACATATACCGTAAGATGGGATAAGTATGGGACTGAGTGGATAAATTTGGGACAGCGGGTAACATTAAGAGTGTGGTGGATACATTGTGTTGGTTCAGTCTGCAAAAAGGTGTTTTGTGTAGAGGCGTGAACTGCACTACTACCTTGCGTCACACTATTCTGGATGTACAAGCAAAAGTTTTATGAAAACAAGAATTTTGAAAAAAAAAACAATAGAAATAAATAAAACCTAACTGCACGAGTGTAGTGAACTAGTGTTCTCAAACTGCCGCAAGGTAGTATCGCTGTACATGCCT